TGACAGAGTATTTCAGTTTCATCTCCCATCAGGGCTGTCTGGCTGTGCAGGGGGAGAGGAATGACCCCACACAGCGGGTGGCAGTGCGCTGGTGGAGCCTCTTCATACCCAGGAGGAGAAGGGCCATGCCGGCCGCTCCTTCCGAGGGCAGGACAAGCGCCCAGCAGTCTTGACACGACCTGCATTTGTGCAGTTCAATGGACTTCTATAATTAACTATTGTCAAGAACGCTTCTGGAAATGCTGGCTGGGATTTCAGATAGGAACATCAGCTTAAGGAGAAGAGAGGTAATGAGGTGCAAGGAGAAAATCCTTCCCTGGGGAACAAATCAGACCTGATGTCATCATGAAGGGTAATGAGAAACGCACTGCCGAAGTGAGATTCATCGCAGCTGCCTAGAAGAAGCGAAACCATGTACTCCTATTTAAAACACCAGAGAGGGCATGCTAATGTTTAGAAAGTCTGCTTGTTAAGTCAGGGGACGCACAGTTTCCACACCTGCCTTTTGCAGGTAGTTTTAGCCACACGTTTCCTGAGTCCTTGGGCAAGTCATTTCACTTCTGTGTGACATAAGGTATGTCTGCTTAGGTGCTAGTCAGTGCAAATAGCATGTGCCTGTACACCTGCATGGCAGGTTTTGAAGCTATGACTGTACCTACGCTGCTAAAAACACAAGGCTAAGTGGCACAGACTAGTCCTGTCCACACCACACAGAACTGGGCCTGTCTCTTCGTTTTTGGTCTCATATGATGACTCTCTGGCCCTATGGCAATACTGGGTGTTTTTATCTTTTCCCTGGTTCATAGTATCTTCAGTAACGTGAGGCCTTATGGGAGACCATCACAGCAGTGGTTTTGTAGCATCAGTCTGAGGATTTGTGTTGCATATTCTGGCGTGTGACAGGAAAGCCTGTGTCTGTGCCTGGAGGAGCAAAACCATTTTTTTTTGTGTAGGAGAACTGCAAAAGGTGGAAGGTGCCAGACCTGTAGTCTTCTCATGGGAGTGCTGTCCCCTAGCGCAGGCACGGGGGTCATCTGGACCGGCAGTGCCAGACAGGGTGCTGACAGTTCCACAGTACTGACTACCTGCGATCATGTAAATCAATTTGTTTTTTGGGTCTGCTGTATTTAACAGTATAAATGAAACCTGTGTGGCTGTGTCAGCATGGCTGTATGCCCACGTTGATAGGTAAGTCAGGATATATTATTTCATGTGTGGTGCTGCACAGTTGAAGGAGCTGTGGCCGCAAGAGCTTATGTTATAGATACAGTGAGTATTAGGTGACTAACATCATAATTGCTAACCTCGCTGGGATACTCAGTAGCTTAATTAAAGTGTACAAGAAGCACTGATACTATAGAAGCTGGAGCAAAACATTGTTGCTTCAGACAGTGTTGTCAGCCTTTAGCAATTTGCAGGCCACAAGCAAGTATTCCAGGAGAAGCACACATTACCCAGAGCAAAACCCTCTTGACTGTGGGTGTGCTTTCCTGGGCTCCTGGCGTGTAGTCACGGGACCCTCAGGGATCCAACAACTGCAGACCCACCAGGGACAGTGGACATTACAAGGAGAGGGACAGAAGTAGGTGGTGAACACGAGACTTCCCTTAGAATGTTTTACGAGGCACTAAAAACACGTGGTGTTTGATGCCCGAGTACCTGCTCTGTCTTCTTAGGGACTGCTTCCCAGGGGAGCCGGGTGTGAGGACGCAGCAAGCCTGCACAGCAACCAGTGGTCCTGTGGAACTGGAAGAGCCTGGCAGCACGAGGGCCCCGTGCCAAGAGGCTTAAGACATTCTTACCCTCACCTGCCATCCTGTTGATGTGCTCACATTGCTGATAGTAATCTTATGTGTCTGCAATCTTGGTCTCATCTGTGTCTGCAATCTTGGTCTCATCTGTGTGTCACCTCTCATCCTGTGACATCTCTTCCCCCACGCTGCCGCAAGCACCGCAAGAGGTTTTGTTACTCCCCAAGTTATGTGGCAGGGAAGCATTTTCTCCATGCAGTTCTGCCATTCGTTCTAAATCCCAGGGTAGGATTTGGGGCTAATGCTGCTTGAACTGCCCTCGGGCTTCTTGCAGGGTAACTGTTTCATTTTTCTACTGAAATTCTTGCTTGGCATTTTGCTAAAATCTTGCACGGTGTACGTTGCATGGATATCAGACAGTGCGTTGTGAGTCAGAGCAAAGGCAGTCGGTATCGCAGTGCTCCAGTAGAAGAAAAATATAAGGGTAACTGTTACAGTATTTACAGCGTGATTTTTCATATAGATTTGCACAAGCTTGTTGGAATTATTTGGCATAAAAAAATCCATGATTACAGAGGAGCTGACTCATTAAAACAGTCTCAGTTTCTCCAGAGAACCCAGAAAGAAACACAGCACTTTAATACATTTAATTCACTCAGGTGTGCCTGGTGCTATCAGTTAAACCGCAGAGAAAAACATCTTTCTTCCCGGCACTGTTCCTGCCCAATTCCCTCTTTCCTGACTTTTCCTCTTCCCCTGACTTTTCTTCCTCTCTGTAATACAAATGTAAGGAGAAATGGCACCTTTTTACTCTGCAAATTTGCTCCTTCTGTGCATTCTTGCCTGCCAGCCATTGTGAGTGCTTTTTGCCATGAGTCACGTGGAGTGAAAAGACCTTAAAATAAGTGCAAGGCAGAACATGTTTCTTTCTGTGCATTCTTAGTTTTCGGGATGTTTTGGTTTCTGGGCCACCTGAATACCTGTACAAAGCCAATGGGAGGCAAGTTATGGAGGGGGTTAGTGAGCATAGGCGATATTTGGGGAGGATTTGACTAGCAGAATCTATTACTGACCATGCTTATGGGGGGATGGCCGTCCTAGACGTAGGACTGACAGTTGGCAAATACATGTTTTTTACTTGCAAACTGAGATGTGATGTGGTGCATCCAACAAGACGTACATGGTGATACCATAAAAACAGTGTATCTTTTCAGGTGAGACCATGCTTGTGCCCTTGTGCCTCTTTTCTTCTTTGCTTGCCGTTTGCCATTTGGCTGCCCTATGAGTCAAGAGTTGACTGCAGTGTGGTGGAACACTCAAACTCCTTTTTGTTTCAACTAGTAATAGTCTGTGGTCCGCCCTTTGACTAATTCCTTCCTCTTACTCCCTGACCTCTTTAACAAAGCCCTGTTTCTTAACTGTGTGATGCCGGATTTGCAAGACTGACCTTTCACACTGTGTTGCCTTGCATATTTTATATCAATGTTCTAATTAAGTCATCGGGTCAGGATTGATGAGTGGTCACGGCAGTGACTCTTCTCTGAACAATGAACAGTGGAAGGAAATCTGCAGGAGCCTGGGAAGTGTGTGCAAATGAGTTGTTCTTATAGAAACTTTTAACATGCTCTTCCAGGCTGAGTTGGGAGTTGATATGTAATCTCAGGGGGGATTCCCTGGAAACTGAAAAACTCTTGCTTAGCTCTGGCTCTTCCAGTACATGCTCCCACACATCTCCTTGGATATAGGGGCATCTTCCTCAGCTAGACGCAGTGAGAGCAGCTCAGTCCAAAACAGGTGGAGAGAGCAGACTTGGCATAGGAAGAGCAGAACAGCACATCCTAGCCCTGGAGAAGGAGTATAAGGAAGTTAGAGAAAAACTGCTCAAGGCTTAGTACTGTTCCCATAAGAAGGAAGCAGCAGTGGACTGAGACACAGTGTTTGCTTTCTTTCCAGACTCATGTCAGCTGTGTTTTAGTGTGCGCTGACTTTCCACTACTGTTCCTGCCCTTTTCTCCTTAGGTGCCTGCCTGCTACAGCAGCAAGTAACGAAAGGCTTCCTTTGCATAGTGAAACCAGTAAGTGGGATGTTCCTGGGTTCAGCGGTCAACACTAGGCCAGCCAAGCTCATTTGTTTAGAGGATGTCCTTGCAAGACTTCTCACACTAAACGAACAAGCCTTGCATAAGTAATGGGAATCTGCACACGGGTTGCCTCCACACCCAGCGGTCGCTCCGCACAGCAGCTGGTTTCTCTTGCCTACCTGGCAGGGATGCGAATCAACTCCTGAAACAAGTGGGCAGCCGAGTGTGAACTGTAGCTGGCAACCTGGCATGATGCCAGCCCACATCCCTTCACAGAGCGTGAACGAAGCAAGAAAGAGGGGCTTGGCTGATCTTGCCTTTTTATCAGGAGCTGGTTGGTGGGGGTCTTTCGATAGGGTCTCACCAGCTGGTTGGGTCTGTTCTGTCGCGATGACTGGCAGCTTAAGCAGCTTGTTTCAGTTTAACTAGTTTAGAGTTCCAGTCATGTGTAATCTCCGAGGAGTCTTGGGGAGCACATACATTCCTCCAGGAGGCATATTCAGGACAGGCACACAGAATGCCTCTGTGTGCTGCTGGAGCAACACAGAAAATTGCTAGAGGCTCAGGAAAAGTCTTTTGGGAGAAGAGGAACCTGACGTCTCAAGGCTTCAAATGTTGATCTTGATATAAGAGGGCAAATACTCACTTTCAGAATATATTGTATTCAAGGCTTTTTGGTTTTGGGAGGGTGAGTGAACCTATGACACCTTACAGTTGTCTCAAGATGCTCTTTCATTTATGTGTCTTCTTTTCATTCTTCTTTCCTTTTCTATTTTAGTGTCTGATACTGATGTTCATTTGATTTTCTGATTCCTCCTGCATTTAATTTCCCTCAGTTCAGTTTCTGCCTGGATTTAGAGTCATAATCATTAGTATTTGGAAGTGTGGGGTTAAAATGATAAAATAAATTTGTTATAATGTAAGGGTTTTTTCCTTCTAGCTTTTCAGGTCTAATTATTTTGTGGCTGATCTAGTATGCAATTGATAAGATGAAAATGTAGATTTACAGGTTTAGCATTCAAAGTATTTTTCATCTGATCAAAGAGATGGAAGCATTTTGCAAAACACAAAGCTTGCATTTCTGCAAATCTCTGAAGTTATGTGGATGTAGTCAAGCCATGAGGAGATCCACAGTGCATCTGCTAATGTTTATTTCATTTTTCTACAGGAGGTCTCGACCTGATCTTCATGCCAGGACTAGGGTTCGACAAGAAAGGCAACAGATTGGGAAGAGGGAAAGGATATTATGATACCTATCTTGACAGATGTATGAAACATCCCAGTGGAAAGCCTTACATGATTGCCTTGGCTTTTAGGGAACAGATTTGTGAATCAGTGCCTGTGGCAGAAAATGATGTCCAAGTAGATGAAATACTTTATGAAGACTGCTGAAAGTATCGCAATACCAACCCACCTTCAGAGTGACCCTCCAAGGACATCAGATTCATCAATCATAGACAAACAAAAACAAATGTGAATGCGGTCATAGTGACGATTGCATTGATTTGCTTCTAATTAGCAAATGTCTGGTGTGAATTCTTATTCTAGAATCAGTATAAGCAAGAACGCGCGACTGTTTATTACAGTAAGGACCATTTCTTCTCATGATACTTTTGAGGAACAAGCTACTTGATACTTAGCGGTTTTGTTATTCCAGTTTAAAAGTGAACTGTGTTCTAATGACAGTTCTTGATCCATTCTAGAATTAGATACTTGTTATGGAAACAGTTCTTAGTATTTAAATATTATGTGCATCCATGAGAAAAACAAAAAACTGCCAGGTAAGTTCTATTAAGCTGGGCAAAAAATGATGGGCAAAAAGCCTTAACTGATTTTAGTGTACGTAGTGATTTTGAGTGTTTACTTGGCTACTTGAATTTGTCTTAAAATAAAGGGAGCATATGTTAATAAAAAAAGGTTCTTTTCCATAGCTTTAGTATATGGTTCTTTATCTGAATAAAAGATTGTTGTGTATTCTGAAATGCAATCAGCAAGTTCTTCATCTGGATTTAAAAAATATATTTTTTGGGGGGGTAGAATAATACTCAAAATCACATTAAGTTCTATAATTTTGTACATGGGCCATTCACAATGTCCTAAAATAGTGTGAAGTAAAAGTACTGTGTTAAAGGAAAAAGGGATGTTAAGAATTGCAGAGAGAAAGTTTTAGGGATTAAGTAAATTTTTGGGTGGCAAGTTGTTTGTTTTCCAGACCATCCTGGAAATCATGAAAAAAAAGACTTTTCCTGTGCACACTGTCCTCATAGTAATAGGACACATTTTTTACAATCAGGGCCAAACTGTCAAAATTTTTTGTACCTTCTTCAGGGCAACTTCACTTTTTCCATACATGTTTAACTCCTCAATTAATAAATCGGTGCATTTATTTTCAAAGTACTCTGTGTCATCATTAAAAAAAAATATATCCTCAAAGAGTGGCTGCAGAGCAGAACGACCTTAGGACTTACTCAGCGATAAGTGGTTTTGTGAACAAACCCCTGCCTACTGTGCATCGGAACCTTTACATCTCAGAATTCTTGTGGTCAGTTTTATTTCTAATTTGCTAATACAGCAACTAATTAAACCCATAAGCTTCGCAGCTCAGGTCTCACTGGCCTGTGCTTGTCCATCCTGTGTTAACAAAGGTCCGTCTGGCTGGGGTGAGGATGCCTCCAGTGCTGGCCTGCTGAGCTTCCCACCAGTGCGTACAGAAACACTGTGATCTGAACAAGGCAGCTGGGAGCAGTCTGCACTATGGGCTGTTTAACAGAATGATGGTGATCAGACTTGGCTTTCCATTGGCTCTTTATCAACCTGTTTCACTCCACCATATGAAAGGTGCAGAGTAGGATGCGTTCACAAAGGGTTGTGGAAGCAGAAGTTGAGAGGACGGGTATCGATGCCACATAAATCAAATGGCTACAGTGAAAAAAAAATTCAATACAAAACCCTTGCGCCTCATGGCTTTGCTTTTCTAAGGCATTCTTTATACAAAGGGAGTTTAATATTATTATTGTTTGTTAAGTTAGATACAAATTTAGTCACAACATTTAGTGGCCCTTTGGATTAGCTTTTGATCTTGCTGTCTGAGCTCCAATTTATTCATGAGAATAAGGGCTGGCTTGACTCGTATGTATTTCACTACAGGTGATCCCAGGTGAACAACTGCACGCTAAAAGGCCAGCGGACAATGAAGAGATTTCAGAACCAGCACTAACAACTGCAGAGAAACAAAGTGTTTAGAGATGAAGACTACGTTTTGTTGTGTTGGAGTTTGAAATGGGGGAGGGGGAAATAAATAGCAAGAGTTTGGATGCAAAATACATGCCCCTGTCCAGCACAGCCGCAGACAGGCACCAAGCTTTGTCCTGCTGGGCTCACTGGAGTTGCTGGAACTAATGGGTATAGGAAAAGCAAGCGAGCTTTGAAGGCTTTCATGACTTGGGGCAATGATTGTCCCCAAAATCCTTGTTGTGCAGATCACATCTCCATACATCATGGAGCCATTCTCTTGTGCTTTCACTCCAAACTGCCCTTTTGGCTACAGCTGCGGTGGGAAAGGATGAGAGAACTATTTAATGAACTGTATCATTGGGAAAAAGAGTTGGTGCTTAAGTTTCCTGCTAGCCTCTCCTGGGTCTGGAGGAGATGATCACAGGCTCATCGGCAAGGCTGGGAGAGCCACAGGACCCTGGCTGATGCAGATAGCGCTCAACATTTGGCTGATGGGGACAGTAAAACAATATTTATGTATATTGTCTTGAGAATCATGGAGCTAAATAAATGTGACAGCTTTCATTTGACATCCGCAACCTTGCTGCTGTCGCTCAGGGTTTTTCTTCTTGCCACATAACATGAAATCACTGTCAGTTTGATAGGATATAGCAGCACTTCCAAAGCACAAAGGTTAGGGGGTTGGTAGGTGCGTCAGAATTATTTACGTTTGCTATGCATAAAATGGCACATAGGGAGCATGGCAGGCTGCCAAGAAGGAGAGGAATCGGGGCTGTCTGGATGGTCTCTTGTATCTCAGCATGCTGGTTTGTCAGAGGAAGGATTTATAAAAATTCCTTCTAAACAATATTGTCTTCCCTCAAGTGGACATGCCCCCGTCTGTTGCAGTGAATGCCATTATTGCTGTGCTCATGACAAAGCGTCTATCAATCTCCACTTTGTTTATAAACAAATCTGCCTACCCTGCATAAGAAATGAATAGGCTGAGGAAAAATACCATTACCAAAGGAATAAGTTAATTATATTTCAGGATCTCAGCAGGGAACGCTATCTCCGAGTATTCAGTAAGATCTGGCCAGTGGAGTTATAATTAAAAAATGTCCCCAGGGAGGAACTTGTAAATTATTTACTGTAAGGGGCTTTTCCAGGCTCTTTTAGTTTAATTACACCCTCTGAAAGGCCTCAGAAACAAATTAACTACGAGGTTGAAATGGCTTTGTTAAAATCATGTTCACGGCTAAGCAAGTGGAAAACTGTGAGCAAGGTTCAAACACAGGACAAATCTTTGGAAGCTGGCATTACTTGTGGTTTAAAAATCACATGGAAAACACCGAAAAGTCCACACACAGAAAACGCAATCACTGGTTTTGTCCAGGATTCCCATTGGTTTTGGAAGACTTTGTGTGTAGTCCAGATCTGACCGTGCCTCAGGTCCTCATGGCTATTTGCTCTGTGGGCTTTTCGGTGGGGTACAGAGAACTCCTAGAAGATGGATATGAAAGACAAGAGGTGACCAAAAGGTAGAATAAGAGGATGCCGGGACAGCCGGAATTTTCCATAACTCTCCCACCACCTGTGGCACTGTAGTTCAAACCAGCCTGGTTAACCCTCATCCACAGGTGGGCTGAATGTGGCCCTTGGTGCCAAGGGGCAGGCACCCATACTGTTAGTTGTGCCCTTCTGAAATGCACAGGTGAAACCTGACTCGCCCTTCCACATGAAACTCAGCTTAGGAATTTGCTACCAGGTTTGGCCCCTGGAGTTGGCCTTTGCTAGAAGACAGCTGCTGTGATCTCTGGCCAGATGTAGGGAATTAAAGTCAAGAGGCCAGAGCTCTGCCCTCATCCCAACCACTGACTCACTGCTTGGCCAAGACAGAGGCATTATCTAATATCTCTTTGCTGAGGAATAAGGCAGCCAGGAATACTATATCTGCCTGCTTGTTGTCAAGTTTTATGTATGTAATGGCCTTTCAGCTGTGCCTGTCCTCGCATTTACTTGTTTCTGAAAAAAGTCCACATCTGCTGTGGCCCCTCATAGTAGTTTAAGGCTGGCCCGACCACTAAACTCTGACCGACGCTCTCTGTGATCCCCCCAGCACCCTCCCAGGGCAGAATCACAGGGGAACCAGGGAGAGAGACCATGAGGCTGGGAAAAACTTGAACCAGTAGAACACAAAAATAATAACAGTAACAATAACTATGAAGATATAGAACTACATACAGATATTATACAAACATTCAAATACACCCAGATATACACAAAAATATGCCTTCCAGATAACAGCAAGGTTCCAAGTGGAAAAGTCCCAGACTGGACTCAGCAGCAGATGGGAGCACTCAAGTACTAAGCGCAATGACAGGCAAAAAAAACCAAACCAAAACCAAACTAGAAACAGAGCTGTGCCGCTCCTACCTGGTGATGCCGAGGGAAGCCAACTCATCCTGAGGAATGTTGCTCCTCAGCAGTGTGACAGCAGGAGGCAGGAGCAGCAGCAGCACAGGCAGAGCTGACACCCAGCCCAGGACAACCCTCCCAGCACAGCAGCACTCAAGGCCCCAGGGCTCTGCCCAGGGGCCCTTTTCTACTGAGCACCATGGCAAGGAACGCTGGCATTGGTCCTTTGGGCTCACCTCACCCATCCTCTCCTCCCCACAGGCACAGCTGCCCCCTCCCCGATTGTTACTGTCCCCAGTGCAGGCAGCAGCAGAGAACTGCCAGCCTGGGGCTCTCACCCCAGGGCAGCCCCTCACCAAAGAGCCAGCTGGCTGAGCAGAGCAGCCGGACAGGGCTGGAGCCGCATACATGCTTGTTAGCCCCTATGCGTACATAGAGCACTTGAGCACTTTTCCTCACGTCTCCTTTTTCTTTCAAATTTATTGCACTTGCATGTCTTGCTTAGATGGCAGCTGTCCCAGAGTTAACAGTCTCCCTACCCCTGCATGTGTACAGTCCTCAACACATGCCAATGTTTGGTTACAGCCTGAGGGTACCGTTACCACATCCCAAACACTAAGTTCTCCACCTTCAGGCAAACGAGCTGAAAATTCGCAGATGAAAGCTGCTCTAGTCATTCATCAGGCAGATGAGATCTCTGCTTTTATTTTGTTATAGTGTAAATCTGCTGCCTAGTTTTTTAGTCTCTCTGAAAACTACCGAATCATAAAAGCGCTTGTAGCAAATGCCAGCTTGTCTGTCACCAGACTAGTACATTAAATGGCT